TTTTTAGATGCTTATTCTTTCATCTACCTAGAGAAGCACAGTACAATACCTTTCCTTGCAGTTATTATTTTATTATTGAGAAGTGCTAAATCTGTAGGTGTCATACAGTGCCTGGGATGTAGGTGGTAATCAGGTTTGATCTTAGGAAGGAGAGAGTTGACCTAGTTCCTTGGATTAAAAGCCCTTCAATGCCAAACAACCAAAACGAAAAATGGGTTGCTAGAGAGCTGGACAGACAACCAGGGAATGAGTCTGCAAAGGAAGATTGGGTAGCAGAGCTCATGAAAAGGGAACATAAGTGGGGAAGGAAGCTAAAAGAGCTTATCATGAAAATGGAGGACAGGATAGCTGCACAGACTAGGAAGTGGGAGATACAAGTCACAGCAGCAGAGGCTAATATACAGAAATTAGAAGAGGAACTGAAAAGTCTGAAACAGCCTAAAGAACTAAAGAGCAATGTGGGAATGACATCAGAAACTGCTACCTTAATCACAAACAAGGGGACCATAGGGAAAAAAGGAGTGAAATTGTATGCAGAGACTCTATCAGACCATCTTGGAGCCTGTGAAAAAAAAGAGGATCACATCAGGAACAATCGAGGTGGCTGCAGAAAATGGAAGAGCTAAGCTATGTGTAGAGGCCCTAACAGACCACAGCTGTGCCCAGGGAAAGCTGAGAAGGAAAAATGACAGACCACTGGGCCCAGGGACAACAGTCAGTGAAAAGATTGAAGAAAGGAAAGCTGCAATGGAGGCAACTAAATCGAATCAGGGGATACATAGTGGTGCAGTGGAAGAATGAAAGGGAGAGATCAGTCTTTGCTTATGGGCTCCAGGAAGTTGAAGGGAAAACTTATGAAGCAAGAAGACAAGGAGGGAGAGAAGCAATTGAAACCATCATGAAAGCAATAGATGACAATACTCAGCTGGCAAATTTTCTGAGAATAGGGGGTTTTGCAAGAGGAAGACACTGATCTTTCAAAGTGATTTTCAAGGCAGAATTGGCTAAAAACAGGATCCTGCAGGAGAAGCAAAATTAAGGGACATGTTGGCATACCGAAGGCTGTATCTCGATCATGACAGAACATGAGAAGAAAAGCAGAAACTGAAAGAGAGGGTACAGAGACGAAAGGAGGAAAGAGAGGTGAATTTGGAGATGGTCAGGAGAACCTAGACTCAGGAGGAAGTTCAAATGCAACCTCCCTCCCAGCCACCTAGGAGGGTTTGCAAGAGGAAGACACTGATCTGTCAAAGTGATTTTCAAGGCAGAATTGGCTCAAAACAGGATCCTGCAGGAGAAAGCAAGATTAACCCTTAAACTGTCCACGCGTAGATATACGTTGACGTGTGGCAGGCTCCGAACGTAGACCTACGTTTTTTTTTTACATGCTTTAAATGAGGAAAATCAAGGTCAGAGCGCTGTGCACATGAATATTGATTTATGTTTGGACAGTTTAAGGGTTAAGGGACATGTCGGCATACTGGAGGCTGTATCTCAATCACAACAGAACATTAGAAGAAAGACAGAAACTGAAAGAGAGGGTACAAAGACGAAATGAGGAAAAGAGAGGTGAAGATAGAGATGGTCAGGAGAACCCAGATTCAGGAGGAAGTTCAAATACAACCTCCCTCCCAACCACCTAGAGAAGCCTTCCAACTAGGACAACCCCAATGCAACCAAACATTCTAAACCAAAATACACATGCCATACCCAATGCCCCCATCCACCTCATTACAAACTCTACCTTCACAGCAACCACCCATAGTTCCTTATCAGGTCTCCCGCTTCCCCAACCCCAACGTACTCCCCAGACCACAGTTTTAGAAAAGTTGGTTTGGTATACAAATACATTTAGTGAGGAGTGACATGAAAGAGTCAAAGAGGCATCTCCAGACATAATAGCACTCACAGAAAAAACTCGCCAGGATAACAGATGCAACCTTTCCACCCGGATATCACATCCTCAGGAAAGATAGAAGGAGCAGAGGGGAAGGAGTAGTTGCACTGCTCATTAAAAACTGGTGGGGATTTGAGTTAATGGATGGAATGGACAAAAGGGACTACATAGGAACAGTCTAGTCTGAGGGCCATAAGGTGGTAATTGCAATAATGTACAACGTGCCACAGAACTGCAGGTGGCCAAGAGAAGAATATGAGAGCAACAGAGCAATGGTAGACACACTAGCTGAGGTGGCCAGAAGAGCTCACATGGGGGAAAGCAAAGTTTCTAGTTATGGGTGATTTCAATAACGAGGAGATATATTGGGAAAACCTGGAGCCCCATGGGGGTTCTGAAACATGGAGAGCCAAGATGATGGCTGTGGTACTGGAAAACCTTATGCAGCTGAGAATGATCCAGCAAGACTGGATCTAGTATTCACCTTGAGTAGTTTGGACATCGAGGATATCACGTAGGAAAGGCCCCTTGGAGCTAGTGATTATGTGGTTCTGTGCTTTGGTTACATAGTTGAGTTACAAGTGGAGAGGGTAGCAAGAATAGGACGGCAAGATCAAACTACAGAGCGGGGGGACTACACAGGCATGAGGAACTTCCTACAAGACGTTCAGTGTGAGAGAAAATTGGCAGGAAAATCAGTAAAAGAAATAATGGACAATGTGACAACAAAATGCAAGGAGGCAGAGGAGAGGTTTGTTCCCAAGGGAAACAGAAATAATGTGAAGACCAGAATGAGGCCTTGGTTCACCCAAAGGTGTAGGGAGGCAAAAACTAAGTGCACTAGAGAATGGAAAAAGTACAGAAGACAAAGGACCCAGGAAAATAAAGAGATTAGCCAAAGAGCCAGAAAAGAATATGCACAGATAAAAAAGGAGGCTTAGCAACAATACAAAAAATGACATAGCATTGAAAGTCAAGTCTGATCTGAAGCTGTTGTATAACCACATCAGGAGGAAAACAATAGTCAAGGACCAGGTAATCAGGCTGAGGAAGGAAGGTGGAGAGTTCACAAGAAACGACTAAGATAAGATAAGATAAGATTTCGTTCGGATTTTTAACCCCGGAGGGTTAGCCACCCAGGATAACCCAAGAAAGTCAGTGCGTCATCGAGGACTGTCTAACTTATTTCCATTGGGGTCCTTAATCTTGTCCCCCAGGATGCGACCCACACCAGTCGACTAACACCCAGGTACCTATTTGCTGCTAGGTGAACAGGACAACAGGTGTAAGGAAACGTGTCGAATGTTTCCACCCGCCGGGAATCGAACCCGGGCCCTCCGTGTGTGAAGCGAGAGCTTTAGCCACCAGGCCACCGGGCCACAGCCAACTAAGAGGTATGTGAAGAGCTCAGCATGAGATTTAAAGAAGTATTCACGGTAGAGACAGGAAGGACATCAGGAATTCAGAATAGGGAGGCACACCAACAAGTGCTGGATGAAATACATACAACCGAGGAGGTGAAGAAGCTGCTATATGAACCTCAAAAGGAAGTGGGACCAGACATCTCTGTGGGTCCTTAGAGAGGGAGCAGAGATGCTGTTTGTGCTACTAACAAAAATCTTGAACACATACGTACATTGAAACTGGGCAACTACTCAAGGTATGGAAGATGGCAAATGTAGTCCCATTGTTTAAGAAAGGAGGCAGACACGAGGCATTAAACTACAGACCTGTGTCACTGACGTGTATAGTAAGCAAAGCCATGGAGAAGATCAGGAGAAGAGTGGTGGAGCACCTAGAAAGACACAGGCTTATAAACGGCAACCAGCTTGGTTTCAGGGAAGGAAAATCCTGTGTCACAAACCTACTGGAGTTTTATGACAAGGAAACAAGACACGGGAGAGAGGGGTGGATAGACTGCATTTTCTTTGTAAGAAGACCTTCGACACAGTTCTTCACAAGATGTTAATGCAAAAGCTAGAGAATCAGGCACGCGTGACAGGAAAGGCACTGCATTGGATAAGAGAATATCTGACAGTGAGGCATCAACGAGTTATGGTACGTGATGAGGTGTCAGAGTGAGCGCCTGTGACAAGCGGGGTTCCACAGGGGGTCAGTCCTAGAACTTGTACTGTTTTTGGTATATGTGACTGACATAACGGAAGTGATAAACTTAGAAGTGTTCCTGTCTGTAGATGATATGATGTTAATGAGAAGAATTAAATCGGTCAAGGATCAGGCAGGACTACAAAGAGGCCTGGACATCCTACAAGCCTGGTCCAGCCACTGGCTCCTTGAATATAACTCTGCCAAATGCAAAGTTATGAAGATCGGGGAAGGGCAAAGAAGACCGCAGACAGAGTATAGGCTAGGTGGCCAAAGACTGCAAACCTCACTCAAGGAAAAAGATCTTGTGGTGAGTATAATACCGAGCACATCTGAGGCGCACATCTATCAGATAACTGCTGCAGCATACGGGCGTCTGGCAAACCTAAGAATTGCTGTTGAGAAATGGGATTACCAGTTAAGTTTAAAGAGTTTGTACTTAACTTAGAAAGACAACTCATCGCCTGTACAGCCGCCCCTGCAGACGAGGTCTTGAGAAGCTGTCGAAGTCATCTCTCAACGGGCTGTAAAGATTATAATTTGTAAGATTATAAATTACCCCTAGGGGGTGTTATGTCAGCATATTTCATTCGCTGATTGCTGATAAATTACGTACTTGTTTGGACTCAAAAGTCCGCACCTTACTGCTGACTATAGGTTGATTACAAACTCCTTGCGACTCAAGAACTGCGCAGTCCCCCATACTACAAGAAATTCGTAACCTACCTTGCTCTTGTAGCGTGAGCTATGGTGTTCTTCACACCTTCGACAGATATCGGTGACTTGATAGAACCCTGAATTTGGCCTTGGATGTCCACGTTTTCCCATATTTCTAAAAATTACAAACACGGGTACACTGAAAAAAAAACCCCCCCGGGCCGGGGGATTGAACCCCGGCCTAGTCCAAAATACCCCGTCGCAATCGTTTTCTTTACGATTTCTTAAGTCACGGGTTTTAAACGGGTTTTTCCACAAAAATTTGTCTTTATTGTTCAAA